AGGGCGAGAGGAGAGAAAGGGACACTGGGATGGAGGGACTCCTGCATTATTCATCCTTTTGCCTCCTGAATCATTTACATCCTTTTCTCTGTGTCGACTGCCACCGTCCTAATGCAGTTTTCATGCCTTCATGTCTTTTCTGCGCTTTTTCTTCCTTTTTTTTATTTCTGTCCTACTTTTAAATACACATCATCCCAACAGCCAATCTCTACCAACAATGTCACTCCAGGGGTATCTGAGGTCACCCCTGTGCCGCAATTAGGAAGGTTTGACAAAATCAATTATTAAAACCTGATTAATAGTGTACAGTACAAGTGCATGAAAGGCCCCAGACATCCTCCGCTAACCAACTCTAACTTCACTACAAGGACACTACTCTAAATCATACCTTACCTAAAAATGGCTATGAATAATTACCGTGGTTTTAAATCTGAAATCTGTGTCTATTGTGGATCAGTGGGCTCAGATTTTAGCCAGTACTGTGAGCTCTAGGATGATCAGGTTTCAAATTGAGTGGAATAATGTGGGACATGATATAAAAATAAATATATAATAATATAATATACTGTGTATATATAGTATAAATATATCTAGTATATATAATATATAGTATATATAGTGTATATATACACATATATACCATGAAAATAAAATGCAAATCAACTTTAATCACATGATCAGAACCTCATTGTTAGTGTGAACTCCTCAGACTGTCAACACTGACTTGAGCTACAGCCTGGAGAAAACACTCTTCATACATACAGAAGTTATATATATATGTATATATAAACACACACATTTATATGTATTTATATAAATATATATAATATATACACACATATATATTCATAGCTTTAAGGTAATGAGGACTCTTAATAATTGATCAAATATAAAGAGGTAAGAAGAGCTGACCAGCATAAACCCTGAATCCACGTGGCACCGGACAGACACGACATTAACAGCAGGTAAAGTGCTCCTTGATGCGTTTTAGGGAACACTGTGTGTTTTGTACTTGTGTGTGTTAACGTGCTGGTAGCAGGACACTCCATGATAGAGGAGGAGTGGGCTGGGCCCAGCCTAATTAATGTTTCAGATGGTCTGTGGCACTGGGCGGCAGAGAGGAGGCTTTCAGTGAGTTGCTCAGCTTCCCAAGCTGCTCAATAATGGATCGAGAGTCCAGAGCGCTGTCGGCCAGGTAGCCCACTGCTACCAGTCTAGACGGTCTTCCAAAGGCCACACTTTTAACACAGCTAATTATCTGAAAGCTAATATTATGGCAGGAGGCAAAACATGCCAGAAGAAGATGGCTCAGAGTCTGATGGTCCAATCCTGATGTTGGAAAATCAGCGACATCATTTGGTTTAATTCAAGGGGCTGCCTGCCATTCAAAACTTGATTATGAATCTACGTTAACTTCATTCTCAGTTCTGAGTAGAATTAGTGCTGCATATGTTTGCTTACTAAATGTATGATTTAATCCAGAAGAGTGGCGATTTTGACCTTCAGCTAAAAGATGAGCCAAGGTCAGAGGTCACAACCATGTCTATTTCACATATTAGCAAAATCTGCCTGAGCGTGGATGTTTGTCTCCAATTTTATATATAAACATTAGGTGATTAAAGTGCCATTGTTTGCTACACGGCTGTCTTCGTGACTTAAATTGCAACAGAAAGAACACAGAGGAAATGAACAGCACGACTGTCCTCACTCAAGTTGCAACATTTATTTCAAATTATTATGAAACTATTGGGAAATTCTCCCCCGTGTTCCAACATGCTACATTATTCTTAATGAAGTTTTGCCTCTAACATTATCTGGAGAATTCCTGAACATCTTAGTCCTTGTTTTTTGATTGTTGGAATAACAATAATATTAATCAAATCTTACATTTAGGACAGTTACAAAATAAATAAAATGAATAATGATCCTTAATCTGAACAATGAGGTCTGGATGATTCAAGTCATTTGTAATAATGATCCTTAATCTGAACAATGAGTTCTAGATGATTTAGGTTATTTGAACAGTGATGTAACCAACATAGCTACTTCACCTAATAACATTGTGGAATTTTAGGACAACAAAAAGAGTTACTCAACATGGAGGTGATTTTTTTTTTTAAGAACTGTTTCAAAATCATCTCATTACCTACAAGTTGGCAGGGATTTCAAACACCTGATTCGGTCCAAACTCCCCCTCTTCCTGCACTCATTCACTTCTCTCCCCAGGGTGGAAGAGGAGGAGGAGACAGATTAAGGGTTTGGAGCCTGGACCAGGCAGGGACAGGGGGACCGCTCCCACCACAGCTGACATCTGCTAGTTAGCTACTTTACCTTTCCTGAGGAGGCCAACACTGCTGTGTGCTGAGCTTATAGCACTGTAGCCAATACATGTCACTGTGACACAGTTGTCCTCAAAGATCAGCAAACACTTCAACCTTGTATGATCTGATTCCAGTTTCTACTGTAAAAGAAAAAGGTTCCAAAGAAGGAGAACACTTGAAGAACATACGATATACAAACATTCTGGAGAAACAAAGTCTCAGATGGCTTTTCTGGTGAGCATCTCCATGGCCTGAATGTTTGGGGGAGGGCTGTGCTTTGCCATATGCCTCAGCAGATGACTCCACCTTCACACTGAGAGGCCAGACTGGACACAGACCGGTGCACGTGGACTCAAATCCCCCCACCAAACACACACAACTCGTATGGATGTGCACACACACTCATTGTGTATATCTACGAGCAATTAGGTTCCAAATAAACAAACATAGACACAGAAGCTTCTGAATGAAGTTTGCACTTGACCGAGTCCGTTGGGGGACGAGAGCCCCTCACAGGCCTGAGTCACACTAGCTGACCCTCAACCATGGGGTCAAGAGTGGGTCCTGATACAAAAGACCTAAGACTACGTGACCCATTAACCAAAGAGACAAAGCAAATGTCCATGGACCAACCCTTTAACAAAAAAAAATGAGAAACTGCTCCGAGTCTATTATTGTTAATTCTAGTCACCTCAGGTTTGGTACTTTATTTAACCCTTTCTAGGGAAAAAAATATATTATCTCTAAAATAATAGAGAGGAGCTAAAGCCTTCTGATATTTTCTGTATTAAAATAAATAAAATAAATAAGTCCAACAAGAAGGTCAGCAAATAATGAATAAATAAATAAATAAATAAAATGACGTGTTTTTGTAGTAGATTTGAAAAATTTAATACTAAAATTCTGGAATATTGAATCAATGTCAAAATCATAGGATTAAAAAAATGTATTACATCATTTGATAAAATGAAGGTAAATTATATAGATAATTTATCTATAAATTATATAGATAATTTGTATATGAGAAAAAAACATTATATAAAATGTTAGAATGATAATTAAAAAATGTATTTTTTTATTTAAAATTAATTCATAGTAAAAATACAATTGGTTTATTTATGAAAAAAAGTCCCCTTTTACAATTGAGATAAATTTCAAACTAAACCTATACACACACAAACACACATATTTTAGCAGATATTTATATCAAATAATTACCGGAATTCTGTATAAGTTATATAGTAATATTTATGAAATATAAGTTCAATTTATGAAGATTCTATCTATACTCTAGTCAAAATGCCAAGAATGTAAAATTACTACTATGAGTAAAATAACTGCTCAAAATGCAACTTGGCAATAGAGCCTTGGTCACAAACATACATGTAGACTAAACTGTTTTCAGAGCTTTACCTGGATCAGGTGTGAAGGTAGAGTAATCACAGCTACTGCCAGTGATGACCTCAGCAATGCCCGCAGGCCATAGAGAAAGGTCACGAGCGAGTGGCGGTGTTCAGGGCTGTCACTGCAGCAAAGGTCATCACCCCAGAGAGCCGAGCCGAGAGAATGGAGCCCAATGCGCAGGACGTTCGGATTCTGTGAATTAGACTGAGAGGAAAAAAGACAAGAAAAGAGTCAGACTTACAGTCAAAAGAGTTTGGCTGTATTTTTTAGGTTTCCCTTTTTTCAATTGTGGCTGCTTTATTTCTTGGGTGGAAATGGTTACCATTAAAAAATTAACCCTTCAGTTTGGGGTCATAAAACTTGAATAATGACAGCTGACGTGAATGGCTAAACAAGAAGCATTAGTGAGGGATGATGGCAGGGCGGTGATCAATTCACAGCTAAATCTGAAGTTCCACTAGAAAATCTTTAAACCAAGTGAGGGTATTACTTTTATCGTAAACGGTTTTGCCGTACCAGGACGCCAACACTGACACAAATTCCTGCACACTGCACCTTTAAGATCACCGATCTGGCTAAAGGACAAATGTGTTTGAAATGTGTGTTCACAAAGGTTCCCTTCTCTTGGAAGTTCTGTGAAACTTTAGGGAGCAAAGGGACTGGACAGTCTGCTCACCGACTCAGACCATCGAAAAACATGGTGCCCAAACGTGACTGGACACAACTGCCCAATCACAGAGGCCATCTGACACAAGCACAATGGACCTGTCAGACGGGCTTCCAATATGGCTGCCACCCAGAAACCCCTGCACATTCTTGGCACTGCAGCAATGCTCTGCAGCCAAGGGGGCCTGGGTAAGGGCGGAGCGCCGTCCCGTGAAACTATCCCCTCAACGCACCACCACAAGAGATCGATGATAGCCCACTCTTAAAAAAAGAAAAGGTGGCATCGATGATAGCCCACTCTTAAAAAAAGAGCAAGAAAAGGTGGCCAAGCTGCTGTGGCGTATATATCACCGCAAGTGAGCCTGTCTTGACGGTGAGAGGTTTCTAACCTTTAGCACAATTGCTTTTTATTTGGGGGTTCTCTTACGAATGGTCCTTGATTGGTGAGGAGAGAGCCAAGAGTGATTAACAATGCTTGGCTAAAAATCTGCCCGTTTTTTTTTTTTTTTTTCAGCCACTCATCCCTTTTATCCCACCCCCTCCATTATCTTGGCCCTCCCAAAAATCTCCTCCCCTCCCTTTTATTTCCTCTTCCAATGGCATGACTCAAACTTCGGTCAGATCTAGTCCAGAATAACAAGCATTTAGGACAAATAAATAAAGTTTTGCAGGTGGTTCACAGTCAACCTATGGTGAATGAGAACCGACAACTGGACTTCAACACCAGTGCTGTGTTTCTACTACATCTTGATTTGACTATTGTTTCCAACACCTCATGTGTTCCTGCCCCCTGTCATTGTTAGTTTTGGCCTTTCTTTGTTCAGTGGCTCTGGATACATGAGTTTTTTTTTTGGGCACAGAATTAGAAATCCGTTTCTGTATATTTAGCCTGTTGGGTGGGGGTAGGAGTGAGGGTGGCAACACTATTGTTGCTGAGGCAACAGCACAAGGAGAGGCCAAACTTAACTCCTATAGTTTAGCCTATAGAAAAGTGAGGGAACACTGCCATTGGAGTCCAGCCAAAGGGCCAGGGGCCAGCCATATACAGCCAGCCTGGAACCACAACCCAATAAGTAGCAGCCAGTCCCTGAGGAGACGAGCAGGCCCGCTGCCCCACTGCTGTCCCACTCCGGCTAAGGAAGACTAATCCTTGTTCTAATCTGGTATTTACATCACAGTTTATATATCAAATCTGCATCTTGTTAAAATCCGTGGGAAATAAGTGCTCACGCACACACACACACACAGTCACACACACACACTCATCCACCCTGGGTTTTCTCGTGCCAGCGCCCATGTCGCTCTGTGCTGCTCTGCATTCCGGGACTGTGCCAACAGCATGTCAGGCGGCCACACTGCTTTAATGATGTCAGCAGTTAATCTGGTTTGTGAGTGACAGCACTTGGGGAGGGAAGGCAGGGGGTACAGGAGGTAAATCCTGGGTGTGAGTGACAACGGGGGGAGAGGTGGCTCCAGGTGACAAGCAGAAGGGTCACTGACTACGGGTGAAGAAAAAGCACACACTCATACGCAGTACGTGTGCCAATATTTACTGTATGCATTCAATTCTTTTGATGTGAAATGTAAAACTAGGCCCAGTTATCAACACAGACAGGACTGACAAGAGGACCAGATGGGACCATTGGTGTGGTTTTATTTGCACACCACACACATACAGTATGAAAGCCCAGGAAACAGACGCGACAGAAGTTCTGTTTGGTATTTGACAAAGGCGATGACAACGAGGTTCATATTTTCTTTTTTAAGAAGAGCTCCTGAAATGTGTTTCACTAACAGATTGGAAGGGAAATGTGTAATAACTTGACACGGTTACTGTTCATTTGTTGTGTAATGATTAGACAGTTTTGGCCTGCAAGTAGCTGCAAGTCAACAAGTTCAGCATTAATAACATTTTGTGAATGTAAAAAATGCACGCTCTCACAATCAAAACCTATGTGCCTGCACGAGGGGAGCATTCTGTTTTTAGGTGGTGAAGTATACGTAGCATGTCTGATCACTAAATGTTTTCAATGATACAGCATGTATATTGTTGTATGTTGTATATTTTAAGTGAAATCAATTTGAAACAAGTATTTGATTCTTACCATGGAGGCTGCTACTTCAAAGCCCTCCTGTCGAATGACCTCTTGGAGTGATTTCAACAACGCAGAGTAGGGCCCAAGAAATTGACTGGAGAAAGTGTGGGACAGAAGGAGAGGAGACGAGGAGACAAAAGGACAGGGTTACTTTCAGTGAGAAAACTGTCAAAAGAAAAGTTATAAATAAAACTGTCCAATTACTGGCACAGCTTAATTCTGTTCAACTGCACAGTTTCCTGACTGTGCTTTTCTGAAGCCACTGAAGCAGACAGGTGATCTATATCAAGAGATCCAATTAATTTATTTGCTTGATTAAATTACAACATGACTGGTTCTCTGTCAGCTCCCTGAGGGTCTGACTGTGCCCAGATAGATAGACAGACAGACAGACAGACAGATGAGACACGCATAGGCACAAAAAAATACACAGAACAGATGCTAAGGGTGACGGAAGGGGGGTGGGGTGGTATTGGGGGCTTAATGGGCCGATAGCCAAAATGAACAGAGAACAGCATTTTGGTGTTTAATCAGGGGTAAGATTTGCAGTGATAACAAAGTGCACTTGGATTTATCAGAGCAGCACAAGGTAACTGAACGGAGGCAGATCACTGCTGAGCCCAGTGTGTACATTCACAGTAAAATATCTGCTTAAATTCATTTCATGTTAACGCTGTAGCTTTGATGGGTTTCAAACAAGAGTAACAGACTCTCAGTCAATTATAAGGCCCCACAAAGTTCGTGCTGCACCCCCAGTTAAAAAAAACAGACACTGGTTGTGTTGGTTCTCCCTATTCAGAAACAGAGAAAAAAATCTGTCAGATTAGGATGTACTGACTTGGGTCTATTTCATTAATTTAAAATATCCACAAACAGCACCTTAAAAGGTTTGACTACCTGTATGTAAGTATGAAAGAAAAAGTCAAAGATAAAATTCTATTCTCTTCTATTGCATTTTGACATGAAATGTTAAACCAGTCATTTTACACAGGACGCTCTATTAAGAACACACATCTATTGTAATGACCACTCTGTAGTGGAGTCACAGTGGGCTGCAGTGTCAGTTGTCAATTTGACCGGCAGGCTACACAAGCTGATACACATAGATTGGTCACACACCAATTGGCCTGCATAAAGAACAGTAATACACCCTCATGTTACACTTGCACCAAGTACATCCATGTACTCCATTTCAGTTATTCATCCCAACAATGGTGCCTACTGACCCTGCTGTGGCTAATGATAGAGCTGGTTTGGTGAAAGAAGGGGAAACCTACCCTACCCTTGGCCCCTCTGCCCATGGCACTGCTCTGAGGTAGGGGGCTGGGATGGTTTGACACACAGTGGAGCAGGAGGTTGCCTGTGGTTGGCAGCCATTGTGTGGGACGACATTGTGTTTTAGCTTCCCCCACTGAGCGGCTCTCATTCAGGTACGAAAAAGGTCTAGGTGCTTAGCTGCAGGGGCTAGTGCGTCGGCTAATTAGGATCATACATTGGGGAAGCTTCTTTATCTCAGCGTTCCTCCTTTCAGTGAAGAGCAGAAAGGAGGAGAGGAGGGCATGCTTGGTTTTAAACAACAGGATCTGTATCACCTAGAGAGCAATTTGTGCCAATTATGTCTTCAAGTGAAACGGAGCAATTTAACAGCTAGGGTATCAACATGGGGCTGTGGACACGTGCAAGGGGGAGTAGCCGGCTTTGGAGTTCGCATGATACATATGTGCATCTGTGCATATGTGTGTGCGTGTGTGTCAGTTCTTAAGGGCGGGGCTGGAAGACACATTGGTGTGGTACAGGTGTAGTTTCCTGCTGTCAAAAGGCCTGTGAGAGCCATAACCCATCCGGACAACACTCTGTGCAGCGATGTCACCTTTACTTAATGAAAAACACTGCTAGAATCAATGGAGATTATAATTTCTTTTTTTTTCATTTTTTTATTCACTTCCTATTAGACAGACGCTGTTTTGAACTTATGAACCCTGATCACATTAACCAGCACTTTACCTCATTATTGTGCAAATTGGTCAAAATGTACATTTTGCACGTTGTCGACTAAATATCCAAGGCATTTAATGTGTTTACACTGGTAGTCCTTTAAATATCCTTTGTTTGCTAAATAAAGACGAGGGCTTCTATAAAGCCTCCTCCACATCCTCTGTGCAGATTGCTGTATTTGCTCAGCGTGGCTGAGTGTGCCTTGGTGTGCACTCGTGGCCTCAGTCGTACTCTCTCTGAGTAAAGAGCGTCCTGACCTCTGAACCCTAAGTACACTCAAGGCAGGAGGAATCAAACAAGACGTTGGGCAAACAAGACTCCTATTTGCATATGCATACACCGGCCTAAGATGTGCGTATAACCCGGTAGGGTGAATAAGTGAGAGAGCTATTACCAATGGGACGCAGAGCAGCTGGTTTCAATGAGATGATAAAGGGCAGTGCGGTGTTAAAATGAATGTTTCATAGTTTGTTGACAGTACAATATCTGGTTATAGATTTTTTTTTCTAAGCTCCTGTTGTCCAGGCGTAATGGATGTAATAACTCAGCCTTAAGGCATAATTTGTTGATTAGGTAAACGTATTTACCCAATCGACAATGAGCTAATACGGAGGCGTGTTGTCTAACATGGCCGTCGTTGGAAGAAAGGCTTCTTTCTGATTTCGTACTGAATAAAGCCTAGTTAATTTGGGGTTAGTAAACTATAAGTCACACTTTTAGAAAATATATGCATATTATGACATACATACATATAGACATATATACACACACATATAAATATACTGTATATATATATAAATATAAACATATATTAAATATATACTTATATAGATAAAAAATGAAAGTTTCTGGGAGCTATCATGTTTTACCTGTGTGTATTTGAAGTCTTCTGGGGATGATCAGGAAGGTAGAAGCAGTGGGACTTTGCTGCCTGGCGAATTTCTGGCTCCATCGTCTTAGAGACGTCATAATAGTGGCCGAACCGGGATGAGGAAACCAGTGCAGTCTGGCAAAGTTCAGGTCGATCAGAAATATAGTTAGGAAAATGTACATGTACACAAATGTTATGTTTTACTGTCTTTATGTGAAAACTTTTGCAAGGCAGTGAACTTCAGGAAAATCCTGCAACAGCAACAGCAGCAGCAGTTGTTTACTGACAAGTACTTCATTTCGAAGATCAGTGGTTATTTCTGAACACAGCCACAACTGCAAAATCTGGCAGGAAAGGAAACTCCTAGAATCAATTTAAAATGATTCTAAATTGTATTTAAATGCAGTGAATGCTTAAAGTCTTTTACAAACAATGACGTGTGTTCAACTAATTTCGAGCAGAAATCTAGCAGTTGCTGAAAAAAGAATAATCTTGTTTGTGTTTCTAACATGAGTAAATGAGTGTGCTCCAAAACTCTATGCTTATGCAATTGCATTGTTTATGGGTCAGTCCTCGACATTCCTGAAGCGGAGAAGTTAAACAACCAGTACGGCCACACACTTCATCATTTCTTCACATAAATGTCCACTTCTGCCTGTGAAAGCAAACGCGTCCTTGACGCAAGGGAAGGCGGATGTTTTCCTGTGGCTGAGAGAGAGAGTTTTAGCTCTTCTCTCTCAAGTAAAACCAGGGATTCCATTGTTAGAGGGGCCCTTAATCTACTCCTAATCTGGATTAGGGCCCCCGGTGTGTCCCTCTCCTGGCGGGACGAGGAGGTCAGCAGGGCCAGGGGGGTCAGGGGCTCATCTTCTCTTTGTGAGCGGGGCAACCCGCTTAGCGTTCCATCCCCGCCCTGACGGCCTCACCTTTGATCTGATGTCTTCATCGAGAGAGCAACACAGCGTGCTACGTCGGGAGAGGTGTGTGTTAGAGGAAAGTCAGTCACGACTCTTGGGGTAAAATTTGGGATGCAAATCCCTGTGGTCGGGGCTTACTAGTGCTTTGTAAAGACGATTTTATCGGAGAAAGGGGCGGGAGAGGCGAGAAAAGGACACATACATAAAGAAACTTCCAGGGAGAGAGAAAGAAGGAGAGGATCCCCAGGGACACACTGTGTGCTGTTAATCCACATAGCGATATGGATTATAGACTGAAGGGGGAGACTGTAGAGGAGAAGAAGG